AGATTTAAAATAATAATTAAATTATATACATAGTTTAATATATAATATTATTTATATATGTATATATAGTATGTGTATGTTTTGTTGTATAAATATTTATTTAGATGTAACAATAATATACTCTCTTAAAAATATACTATATGAAATCGTATGTATATATGAAATAATAACGAATAATATATACGAAATTTTTTCGGCGATATTGTGGTGTCCAATATATGAATAGTTAATCAATATCGATGTATATTAAGAAATCTTTCTTGCGACGGGTTAAGACACATCTAAAGTAACATGTATCGTCTGTGATGCGATAAGTAATACTGATTACAGGAATTTAACAATAATGAATAATTTATGATTCAGTCGATGATTCGCTGATAAAGAGAATTGTGTCCCGATACGTATCCTCGCGTAATTTCTAACAATTCAGCAAGCACAATTTATATTACCAGGTAGCACTCTTTTGCGCACACCCCTGTATTAAGATCCCTCGGATCCGATAAAGTCAAATGTTCGCGACAATAGCTTTTCAGTCGTGTATTCGCGTCATTGAATCGCGGAACCTCGTTCTTTCTTTCCGTTAACTCTTAGCGACGACAAGACCACATTATTGATAAAAGATCCCCCGCTCATGATAGTTATCTTTGTAGAATTTATGGGAAATTAGGATTACCGATTCTCTCCGATCTCTTCCCATTTGTTTTAATTCTTACAAGAAACAATTCGTGTATATCAAATTAAATGTGTATTAATAATTATTTATTTATTACAATGATATCTTTAAATAGACAAAAATTATGTTTGCACAGTTATTCGTTAATTATTCGTTTTTCTTTTTTACTCAGTTGCTTTAATCCTGCGATGAAGTATACGATAGTGCAATCTATCGTGACCCTCTTCCTCGCATTAACCATCAAAGCAGAAGGAATCGACAATTATTTTCGGCTAATTAGCGACGTCCACAAGTATTATCATACTTTTAGCGTTATTTTCGTGCGGTCCGGAAACTACCATGGTAAGTATTAAAAGCAGCTTTCATCTTTCTCGCTTCTTATATTGCTTCTCCAGAGAAAGCTTAAAAAATATATTTAAAAAGAATATTTCACGCGCATAAATCGCTTCAGATGTATTATTATTCAGATGTATTCGGAAAATTATTTTCCTCGATTTTTCTCTGCAAATATTTTAAACTATAAATTATAACAGCTACGCACGAATCGTAGATTTCAACATGACAACGCTGCTGTACGAATGGTCGCGTGATCTATCACGACAGCGGATCATGACCGAGATCATAACTTTTACGGATCTAGTGAGCAAGTATAACGAGTATCAGATGATCGCGCGGCCATTGTTCGTTGTTCTTCTCGACACCGGGGAGACCATGAGCGAATTCGTCGAGGTCACGAGGAGCATAAAGCCCATCTCTTTCCCCGCCTGGTTGATCATGTTTCTGCAACGTCCCGGAAAACCGCTCGAAAAATATTGTCGACATCCCGCTGACAACATGTTCAATGTAGACTTCAACACTCTCATGCTGGTCCTGTGCTACGATCATCCGAGCCTGATGGAGTGGTACGCCATACGCGACAATTACACCAGGACGTTCGAGCTGGCCACGTGGGCCACTGACGGAGGCCTATCTTTTCAGACGCGAAAGAGCCTCTATGCCAGAAGGAGCAACATGTTTGGCGACATCGTACGCGTGGCGTCCGTGAAGGTAAGTTGTTTTAATGTTGAGAAATTATTATTTATAACATAAATAACGACCTTCCCGCGCAAAATTTTTGCGACAGAACAGCCGACTCGTATGCAATTGGTCATAGAATCGATATTAGAATTTAATGACACACATACTAGTAGACATCAACTGCGATAGATTGACTTGATAATTCTGTTGACGAATGGGATTCGAAGGATTCGCCATTTTTCTCGCTGGAGAACGGGACGATCGGAGGATTTCTCGGTTTACTGATGATAGAGCTCAGCAAAGTGATGAATTTTACGATGAAGATTCTGGATCCAATGGAAGCGTATGGCATTTGGAATTACCAGGAGAAGGTGTGGACTGGCGTGATGGGCCAATTGGTGAACGACAAAGCCGATATCGGCGTCTCCGAATTTACGATAATTCCGTTTAGGTTGAAAGCCGTTGACTTCACGCTGCCATTGATACATTCGCGAAGTCGCATCTATTTTAAGCAGCCCAGTGGAGTTAATGTGCATTGGTGTGGATATTACAAGGTAATAATTACATTGTTTAAAAATTATATGTATGCGTGCATGCTTGCGTGAACGTATGTATAGTAGTTACATTGTATAATATATTAATTACACTGTAATTATATTATAATTATATTATAGTAGTTACATTATATAATATATTAATTACACTGTAATTATATTATAAAACCTATGTAATAACTTTAAAAATTATTTAAAATTATTTAAAACTATTTAAACTATTTAAAACTATTAAAAAATTATTTAAAATTATTTAATTTTATCCGAGGAAATAATTTCAAAGCAAATGCGTGTAAACGCATTTCACAAATTGCTTTGCGAGGAAGAAAATACATGATGATGAAATTTAAATTTGGTGGAATAAAATCTTTTTTCCTTTAAATGATACATCTTTCAGGCCTTTAGCTCCGGAATTTGGATAATGTTAGCGACGACAATAATAACTGCTTCTATTCTGCTAAGTATTATTAAGACAAAAGAGTACTTTTCGATGAATCTAATATTCGAAAACTATGTTTATGTTTGGGGTGTTTATTGTCAACAAGGTTTCTCAGGTAATATTTACTAAAGATACACTCATATACAAATTTTCAAACTATTTATGATATAATTATTACATCAATATATACTAATGTAAAAGTATTCAGCGCGCAGTATAATGCATATTACATATTTTTATGGGATTACAGATTTTCCCAATAAGTTGTCAATGAGACTGGCCATTTTTTCGATTTACGTCTCGTCGTTGATAATCACATCCGCTTATTCAGCCTCGTTGATTAGCTTCCTGACACTTACTAAGACCAACCTGCCTTTCTCCACTCTGGAGGGTTACGTTGAGGACGGCTCTTATAAATTAATCGTTGTGAAAAACAGCGCCGAGCTCCATTTAGTTAATGTGAGTTCGCTCTGTTATCCATTAAAAATATTGTTTGAATAACAGCAATTTGTGAATCGTGATATGTGTATAGCCAGAAATTAAAGCGATTGCGAATAAAAATAATAAATGAATTTTATTTATGTGAAAAATATAAAATACATATAACTAGAGCTTTTAGAAAAGACGTTATATATTAATCGCATGATTAAAGAAGGAATAGTATCGAATTGTTCGAACGATTACTCGAATTACAGAGTGTCAAGACTTCCATGTTTCTAAAAATGCACGGACTGTTGGAAGAAAAGGAGCACTTGCCGTCTACATTGCTGGACGGATTCAAGCAAGTTAGCGATTTAATTGGTGAAATTAAGTTTTTTTTTTTTTTTTTTGTTAAAGGCAAATCA